ACACTTTCGGTAGTCCATAGAACCGTCATGCGGGACCTTCTGTAGGTTTGACTCGTCTTTATTCTTTATCCTTTACTGTTTTGTTCTTCTTGAGAGCGGAAAGGCATTTGGTTGATTCCTCACCTACTTCCCGGGATCCCCGTTGGCTGATTGATAAGTTTCTTTGTCTTCGATAAGTTGTTTTATCTTTTCTGTGTATTCTGTTTGTTTAGCAGTGCGATTGCATTGACCATATCTGCCGGAGGAATGACAATATTGGAGCTTATATATATATATTTATATTATACACCAAAAGAGCAGAGAAATCACATCCACCGCATCCCTTTCGTCGACTGTTCTGGTCATTCCATCTTGGAAAAGAAGCAAGTTGGTGAAACAGGATCCCTTTTACCGGAAACCATATTGCACTGTAGAAAGAATTCGGTATCTGTTTCATTTTTTCATCAGAGAAACGGCCACAATTGACTCCATGACTTTCAATAACACTGTCAGTAGGGTAACAGGTCGGTAGTTAGCGCGGTCACTACGACAAACACCTTCGTATAAGGTTGAGGTAACTCCCGGTTTTCACTATTGTAGGAGTGTTATTTGATCAAAAATCTATTAAAACAGAATGGATAGTGTTTTTGATGTGATTCTCCAAAAAGTTAAAGGACTTCTGACGTATAATGTACGCACCTGGGGTTGCATTTTTCGCAAAGTTGTTAGTTTTCTTTTGACGTTTCCAGCAGCAAATGTAACGTTAGTCAGCGAAGGATATGGACGGTGATGCAACCGGTGAGGGAGCTGTAGCCATACAACATTAAACTTTGAATCACTCAGTTTTCCGCATTTTAGCTGCCTTCATTGAAGTAGCTGCAACTCACCTAGAGCAGCTTAGTGCCGGTATACCCAAGTTAACTTGCCAAATCGAGTTAGCGCACTTACTCAACAGGTTAAGATAAGAGATTAATCCATACACTAGTGTCTCTTGGCACGTCAACCCATCCTCAAAAATCGGCCTGATGCAATGGTTTCTCAGTGTACGATAGTTGTTCCAAGTGACTCTCCTTAAGATAGATCCCTCAGATTATCCATTTCCTAGTGCGACTTTGACTAGGTGAATTTTGAATGCTAGATTTGGTGACTACTCAAATGTTAGTCATCGATGTTAGTAGGTTTGTACGACTGTCGATAAATTTCTGCCAGGAGACCAACGAGTTGGGTTCTTCGCCACAGGAAACCCACCGAGAGGAAAGCTCAAAATTTTGCAATCTCTGCGTGTTAGCTGGAGAACTTCCATAAATAGAAGCGTAAGAAATATAGTTGAATTCAGTGCTTGATCGCTGCGTCCTGGTGGGTAGGGAGTTACTTTGATGGGTTCTATCATCAGTTCTTCGTTTGTCAACACTGAATCCAGTATTGATGGCGACTGTCGGTTTCCAAACCTGGTGGCCTTCACAAGGTTTTTAAACCAGCTGTTTGAACTGACATTCGTATTATGGACGGACGGTCGGTGATTTATTAACATTAGGACAGTTCAGATCACCCACTGAGAGCACATGCGTAAATATTTGTTTAATAATGTGTGATATAGTTTGCAAAAGAGTTTTATTGACTGTCTTTGGGGATGATGGGGAAATATATACTACGCTAATCACACATTCATCATATTTGAACAGTCGTACCTTACACCATGATTTGTCAGGAGCCCAAATCGCAGTGAAGATTGTTGTGAACATAGAATAAAACAACACCATGGTGTGTGGAATGATCGCATCTTGGTAGAGACACATTTGGTACAGAGAGTTCCGAATCAATAGTTGCAGCTGACAGCTGCGTTTTGGTAACAGTAATGAAATCCCACTGGTCATATTAGAAACAACACTTGACCTCGGAAAATTTATTGAGAAATCCTTATGAATTGGCGCAGCAACAGTTCAGGTAGTGTCGAATTAGAAATCTCATTTGTTAATAAGTGTTATCTTTGCCGACTACGTCGTGGTCGGCTAACAGTCGTCTTTTTGAAAGGGATGCTCTGATACTGGGGTCCTCCAACGGGGGAGTGTTTATAGTATCTCCCAGATGCGGTCTGTTTAGGGATGTAAGATCTAGCAGTAGTCTCAGGCTCAGATCTTTCTCTCCCGCCGTGACTGTAAAGCGGTGTTGGTCATTTCCGGAGTACCAACTTTCAATATTCTTGCACCACTGCCATGATAGTTTGGTGAACGAGGAAGCGGACTAACTATTCTAGTAAATGCCGTATTAATTGCCATCGTTCTGGTAACTTTTGGATTCACTTGGATCATTCAACTGTAAGACTCCAAGTATGAATTACAAATAGATTCAGTAAATTTAAATTGAAACAGTTCTTATTTCGAGCGAGAGTCATTGTGGACTCGGAACTGTTGAATACATTGAGTCAGAAGTTTATTAATAGCTTTAGACCATGAAAAATGTTCAAACATTTGTTGGTTATTGCCATATATATATATATATTTCACACTTGTCTGAGGACAGACTGTGTGGCAAACAAATCATGGTACAATAATCTTTATAAAAAGAAAAATGTTCCATGATTGGCTTGTGGGCTGAGTACTGCCAGGTTGCTCAGGCCAAGGCAAGTGAATTTTCTTGAGGAATCCATAACCGGAGCCTTCGGCTAGCCAAAGCCTGACCCGCAAGGCAGCGGGGCGGTGTGCGAAAACCGCAGTCCATTGGGAGCCGGTGTCCAGCTCATCGGATCATACGCTCTTCTGACGGGGTCAGACGTCCAAAGTGCCCAATACACCTCAATGCCCAATCGAGCCGGTGACCACTGCCACAACCGAAAAAGTGTGGGTGTGGTTCGTACGTCTCCTCATGGTTGGTTTGGAATCAGGGTTTTTGGCCAACTCCCCTAGGTGAAATGCCAGTGGTCCACCAGCCCGGCTATAGCCCGGGATATCGGCTTTTCGTCCTCTCACTTTGGTGGGAAAACACCTCCGCCGCGAGAAGGCAGTGAGTAGGGCTTCCTCAGCAGAGGCTATTGGAGGCACTTGGTCGTATGGGGGCATTTCGTAAGGTGCAAGTGCAGGGTGACCAGCCGCAACCCTAGACACCCACCCCCAACCATACTGAGGCCTTGGGAGGCCGGTTATTGCCATCAGAAGACAACAATCCAGATGACCTTCATGATTGAACAGAAATTCACGACGATCAGCTAACACACAAGCACTCGATGGATAGTTGACGCATATTTACTAAGCCTAACCGGACTGTACGATCTTAGGAGGCAGACAGTCACTAAAGTGTCCAACTAATTGACAATGTAACCAGCAATCATTTCATTAGTTCGTTTCCAAACCTTCTCTTCGTATGTTCACATAATTCGCTATAAACAATACATACCCTCATTATTGGGTTTAAATCATGTTATCTCCGCCCTGGCGGTAAATATATATATTTTCACTCATTGGGTTTCAGCCTGTAGGTTAACGATACCGTAATACACTAGGTTCTATAGAATCGGGGAAAAAACAGTATAGGGGGTGTAGAAACGAAAGAATTATGTGATAAACAAAGTCAAATATTTTGTTTTTATTCCATGTCACTTTGAACGTAATTGTAAAAATCTTCTTGCAGTAGTGAAATTCAAAGTTTTTATTCGGGTGTGGCGAACAACAGAAAAATAAACTGTCATGCAGCCGTATCCAGCCAGGACGGATTTCTTTATGCTTTTCCAACCTGAGACGTATATGGAACATCAGCCAGCCTAACAGGGCTGAATATGACCTGATGTTTCCAACCCAAATAGGCAGAGGTGCGTATCCCTGTTGGAATTGAGTTTATCACCAAAACTTCGGGTCAGCTTTGCGACAAATAAAAAGAAAATATTCAACAAAGAAAATACACTCGGTCCTAGATTACCTATCGAATTATTCTTTTCATAAATCAGAATTTGTGTATTTAATTTAAATAAATATGTATATGTCTGGCGCAATATAGCACTTCTTTATCGTATCCCTAATTTTATTGGATATATATATATAATTGTAGTTTTAATTGAAGAAGAAGCAACCAGTCAAAGAGCTGTCATATGATACAACGAAAAGAGGATTGTTAAGCGATGACGTTTGCAGACGACCCATTACAAAGACCTTTAAATGACTACAATCCGCAAGCAAAATGAACCCATTACGGATTGAGAAGACTAAAATTAGCTCCGAAATTCGAATTTTCGAAAGTTTGAAGCACACACAAACGGCTCCCGACAGATTGAGACGCCTTTTGCTCCTTGTGGTGTACCCTTTGCACCTTCAAAGTACAGCAGGAAAGCTAGTTTTGAATAACACCGATCCGGGATTGTTTTCTTTGCCTCAACAGGCACTTGTGATGAATGATGACAGCACGTATAAAGAGAAGGCCGTACGCATATCCAAAGCCCGCGAGGCATGGGCTGGAGTGAAATACTTTCGAAGTCGAAGTGGCGTGTGACTAACGACAGAATGCTTAAACTGTGTCATGGCCCATTGCGCATTTCTGTTGGTTTAGCTTCTTGAAAACATTCATGAAATGTAAGGCTTCGAATGTTAAATTCTGTCTAATTTGGACCAGGTGGGTCGGAGGGTGTTTCACCATGTGTTTAGGAACATCTTTATCAGTGGGTTATACTGATTAAGACACCCGTATTGTGCATGTCTGATAGTCTTCTCAGACATAATACCATTTGTAATTACCGCTATAATACATGTATATATAAAGTTGCACCTACAAGCAGACTGTTTACCTTGTTTCCACCTTTGTCTCCCCCCCCGGCCCCACAGGCAAGCCTACTCGTTATTCACCCTACATATCCGTATTTACCTAGGGTATATATATATATACCGAGTCTAGTAGCAACTAGCGAGGATTCTTTGATTACAACATACCAATGATAATAATGAATAAAATGCATTTGGAAACCGATACAAAACGCTTCCGAGGGCAAATTAAAAGAAACATAGAGATCAATGAATTCAAAACGGGTTAGCCACACTCACATAGGATGTTTCTGATAGTAGATCACTTCCATCCCGATCGCGGACCGAGCAAGTCGAGCTATCCCAACAGGTAGCTCACCGGATAGACCAATCAAACCCAATCTGGCATGCTTCAACGGTCGACCGCTCAATAAGGTGTTCCAATGGTGGTTCGACTCACAGTTGGTTTGTTCTTCTGGTCCGCGAACTTGTTTCCTTTGTGATTCGCTCTCTTCCAACACACTTGATTGGCACATATTTGCTTCGGAATTTGGTTGTGTGAATTTTTTCACGGTATCAAATACAGTCCCGTGGCCCCTAGGTTTAGTGTAAATAATTCTTTCAGGTTTTACCAGCGTTTGAAGCCAATGTGAGTACATGGCGTTAGAGTCTTAAAAAAAATAAACACAAATTAAAGGGAGTCTCAGATTGAGGAAATTATTCAGTCATTCGGAGGCATAAGGACAAAAGATAAAGATAATTACCACTAACTGGAGTTAGCTCCGGTGAGAGAGTACCTTTTTGGGTGGAGAACTAAACAAAGTGTGATTGTTACATGAACAAGGACCATATCTAGTATGGCTTGGAGGTAATTATGACAGACAAATTTGCCGCATGAAATGCATTTCTCATTGCGGTTCTATTTTCAGTCTAGTAAGTTCGCCATTGTACTCCCCTTTGAATGGGATGTATGTAGTGGTTCCTTTGCTGCATTCATAAATTTCTTTTTTTGCCGGTGATGTTGTGAATGGAACGAATCAAGCCGCGTTTTACCCAGATATCAGGAAAATCAATCCATTTGCTATCCTATTCATGCATAGTGAATCCTATATTTGAGTGAACGGACTTAAATACCCTCAGTAGTCCGATCACACTGATGTAGATGAACTTCAAAACATAGTACATAATCGATAATTCGTTTGTAGAGTTTCTTGCGCTTAGTTGTGGACTTCAAAACCATATCCTCTAGCTTGGGAAGGAGAAAATCTTCGAGTGGAGTATGGTACGAAGACCCGATTACTACCCATCCTTCTGGCGAGAGATTTCATCACTGAACTTGAATTGAACCTTGTGTGTTGAATTAATGATGAGTGTTTGAAGTCCTCTTCCTTATATTAGAGGCGCTCATTTAGCTATTCAGTGAACTCTGTGTTTAGTAAAAAGTGAGCAACTTGTACCATAGAAGTATGATTGGTATTATTACTGGTCATCTGCGGATAAAGACTCGCTTGGTGGTTACAATATGTATTTGGACACTAGCAGGATACTAGAAGATATAACAGAACAGTAATCTCGGTCATCCTAAAACTACTAATTGGAATCACCATTTCCTGGAACGTGTCACATGACTGAACGATTGTAATCTATGAAAATCAAGCATCTGAATAAGGGCATGATTGTGCCTAATTGCTGATCGGCTAACCTCCGTATCGCTTGTCCGTCTGCTTTGTCAGACTCGGGAAATAATGCGTAGAATGTAGTGTCCTAACACTGATAATATTCTCTTATTTCTTATTTGAAGTTTTCGCACCCATTAGTACGTACATTGTGCATTATAACTGAAATAAGCTAGAAATTCCATCCTGAGGCTATTATGAGTCGTAATGATGTCAACGTAACAATTCACAGTTTCTTATGTAGTACTATGATCTTATATAGAACAATAATATATATACGCGGCTTTTTAGCAAGTATGGTGCTGACATCGCAGTAATAACAGGGAATGGGGGATCGGGATATAGAACGGAGCCAAATTTTGACCTTCAGATATTGTGTGTTATTAAAACAAATAAAAAAAGCAAGAAGAAAAAAATAAATGCTCAAAGTTTCACCTTTCATGAGGTATGAGGATTTCCTTCTTAATCTTCTTTGCTTTCTAATAAATCAATTATAACGTGGCATCTTTTTCCATTTTGTTTAGTTTAGTGAATAATCAGGCGATAAACTTCCTTGGAATCCAGTAGTGATATCTTTAAAAGCAACACTGAATTATGTAGCTGATCCGAAAGTAAACATCTGGTGAGTTACTTGCGGCAGTTTATCTTTCCTTTGCATTTGCATCATCAGTGACGTAGGGAACTTTGAACAAAGTCAGGCCGAGGAAAATTCGGAATTTCTAGCCGCTTTCAGGGACTGTACTAAGCTTTCGGTGTGAGTTCTCCTGAAACGGAAAATTCATAAATAGTTCTATCGTGGGAACACAAACGGGGCTTTCTTTAAGGTTAGTATTCTTAACAATAACCTTTTTCCGGATACCCACTGTCCTGCTCCGTCCGGTGGACGAATCGTGGTTTTTCAGTCAGTGTGTTTGCTGAACAAATCTTCCGGGCTCTGAAGACTCGACACCGTACTAGATTACGTCTGTATTTCAGAAGGAGGAAGCTATAAACGATGATATATTGATCAATACTGATCTGCTCGTTCTGTGGATTCATATCCCACTGATTAATCTTCTCCTCTAGGAACGCCCACATCCATAAAGGTCAATACGTTGTGAGCTTCAACATCAACGGTGAAACCCTGGAAATCCATGGAATTAAAGTGTTTCGTTAAACGATTCCTGCGTTTGTGATAGGCTAAGTTCTCACCAACGTAACACATCACGGTCGTCACACACAATATGTCATCGACACATCGTGATTCTTTTCTTATGGGAATTGAAAAAATCTAAGATATTCACGATGATTCGATTTTCCTACATAGTTTGATATAGCACAAAGGCGATCGAGTACAGGTAAAAACTGTTGTGTACTCTCAATGTTGTGGTATATACATTATACAATACTTTTCAAGCTTAACCGTGTAATACTGTCACACCCCTGATTCGTTGATAAAAAACATTTCCTGGTGGCTCATTTACGAAAGACTCATTCTATCTCTTTGTTCACTATCCAGTTTGCATTCGCCTAATCCTTTCCTTTCCAGTTGATCACAGGTTATGAGCACTTGAAGGAGAAACTAGTTGATCTTAGCTTAACTTACACTTTGCAGATCTTGTTCAATTAAAAATGTATGCAACCAACCTTTGAATATGCCTCGGCTAAGTGCCGTCAGCAACGCGAGAGCCAGCTCAGCCGTGGATTGAGTGAACCGATTCAACTGAAAAATGATCTGTCAAGAGATACGGATGAGAAAACAGTAATCTCAAAACTTTTATTGAAAAACTATTAAATTACTATGTACGCTCTGCGCAAGAAACTTGTGATGAAATTCAACAACAATAAATCCATGCACTCATGCATAAATAGACAAGGGATTGTTAAATTTGTTTAGGCTTCTCATTTAACAAACTTTAATGTAAGACTTTAGTGAAAAACAACCTAATTAATGGGACGTGAAGCGATACCCACACGATGTTCCTAACGGGTATAGTCATATTAAAACTAATAATATTTGGAGATAATTGAACTATTTATATTTCTCTATTTTGTTATTTACCGATAGATGAAAGATCTTTATTTGTACAAAGAATACGACACCGTAAGCGAGCACGATTTAAATCCGGAATCATTTCGCTGCATCTCAGCTGGTGCTCACTGCAGAATACAAAACAGTTTATATATCGCACATGTTGATAATTTAACATGGTATCAATTCACTCTTCCGCTTACTTGGTTGTCAGAGCAATGCCTTACTGAAGCAGACCTGGTGAAAAAGCAGGGACTCTCGGCCTTTGATTGCTATGGCCTCCGCAAATCTCAGCTGCCGTCCAGTTGAGGTTGTGTGGGCAACCTGAAAAGAAGTCCCACGCCCGGCTTGATGGTCAGTTTGCCTCAGATGGCGATCAACTGATGACGCAGATATTTTGTTCGGCTGGCTTGACGGGGTGATGAGCACAACAACACACTCCCATTTCAAGATATTACTACTGGGCAAAGACCAGACGGAACAATCTCGAGGTCCGTGCTTCGAAAATCCACATGGACTGGCAAGTATATGCATTTTGGGTGTTTTGCTCCAAACCAATACAAACAAGGTATCGTGCGTACCCCGTTTGATTCAGCCAGGAGGCTGTGTACTCCGGATAAGGTGGAGAGTGAGCTAATTCAGCTCAAGAAAACTCTAAAGATCAATGGTTACCCAGGGAGGTCTATACAACGGTACAGTGTAAAAGCCGAACCCAAGACCTCAGGGTTGACAACACCAAAATGCGACGTTCTCATTTAACTTCCGTTCAAAGGCGACAATTTAGGCCAACTTTTACGACTATGGCTGGTGGTATCGGTAGCCCGCACATATTTTACTGCAAATCCGGTCGTTCGCTTCAAAACAACCCAGGTTCCGAAGCCCTTGGTGAAATTACCACTTTTTCTGTCCACCAAATTGCACGTAATCTATGAATTTCGATGAGGGTGCGGATCCACCTACGTGGGAAGAACAGAGAGACAGCTGTGTACCCGAGTGGCAGAACATATTGCAGCGTGTGTCGAACGCGAACGGATCAGATTGAGAGCTACACAAACAACCAGTCCATGAAACCAACCGCACAAGATCTGCAACAAACTGACCATCAAACCGAGCACGGGACTTCTTTTCGGGATGTTTCCACAACCTCGAATGAGATTCGCAGAGACCATAGCAATCAAAGGCCGAAAGTCCATGCTTTGTCATCAGTGTGGCATTGCCCTGGTAACCACTTAGGCGGGAGAGTGAATTGATACCATGTTAGATTATCAACATGTGTGATATATAAACTGTTTTGTATTCTGCAGTGAGCACCAACTGAGATGCAGCGAAATGATTCCGGATTTAAATCGTGCTCGCTTGCAGTGTTGTGTTTTTTTTGGTTGCTTTAATCTTTATTTGTATTTTAATTTATGACAGGACCAGTAGTCTTCATTGGATAACATATACATCCATTTTAGTGTATCGAGCTTGACTTAAGAAAATTTCAGTGTATATGTACAGAAATCTATATATATGTATAAACCGTTAAGAAAAGATATCAGAAGCAAACCTAATTAGCAGAGAAGCTTATTTTAATATTATAAAACATTATGCGAAAGCTACTGAGTGAT